ACCATGGATCCTACAAAGGTATATGATACAAAGTCATATTACAGGGTGTTTCTGTATTTAACCTTCAAATAATTAAGGAAACAAGCTTTAATTTTCTTTCATGTGTAGACAAAATAATTTATAATATAATTTTTAAATTATATAATTAAGAATATTATTACTTACAATTGAATCTATCATTAATATTTATGAAATAAAATATACTAAAATTAAGATAAACATTAAATTTATAACTTTAGGACATTTATGTTGAAATGGCATGGGAGACTAAACCAAATCCCATTTTCTATAAGTGGTGAAATATTATTATTTTATTATTTGGTTTAAAATTTGGTGAAATGCATGGGAGGAGACCAAAAACATTATTTTTAACCAAAAATGGTGGAAGGATAAAATTGTGTGCTACCGGTGGAAGATGAACCCATTTTTCCACAAAGAAAAAATGAAATTTGGTGAAAAAATGATAAAAGCGGTGGGAGATGCTCTAAAAAACCTCAACAATATAGTGGAAGTTAAGTGTAAATGTCTTATTTTTGTCTTGCAAATTACCCATGTTTATTTGACTCTAATTCACCCCAAATTTCACGATTGAATTCTAATTGAGCCCAAATTTCACCAATTAGTCAATTTTGACTTAAAACCGATTTTGACCATCACTACCAATGACTTTTTTTTTTCTTTTTCTTTTTGATTTTTGTTTTCTGAATTTGTTTTTAACCACCGCCGGTCTATGACGTTGACTTATTTTCTTTTTCTTTTTTTTTTCTTTTTTTTTTCTAATAACAAATCCTGAATTTTTGTCCCGCTACCGCCGTTAACAAGCATTGTTCCCGGCTGTTTGACCGCCATATAATAATATTACTGTTAACAATTAGTAATATACTTGTGTTAACACTAATATGAAATAATATTATTGTGTTGCATTTAAATATTACAATCTCAATAATATTGTCGTTAAAACAATAATATTACCGAGTTAATATTAATATTAATGTCTTGGCCTGCAATATTACTGTCTTAGATAATAATTGTTGTTAACATTGACAAAATAATATAATTGTGTTAATATTATTATCTCAAGTAATAGTACTACTGTTAATTAGCCCGGTAATATTACTTTGTTGATTGTTCAAAAATAATATTTAATATTACTGTAAATACAGTAATATTACTTTGTAAGATAGTAAGATTAATGTACTGTGTTCACAATAATCTTACGGTGTTGACAGTGTTGACCGTCAAAGGCGGAAAAAGAAAAGAATAATTAAAAACAAAAGCCAACACCGGTCAACAGCCGAAAAAAAAATCATAAATGAAAAAAACTTTCCAAAAAAAATGTTTTTAAAAAATTATGAAAATGGTGGTTAATGTGATATTTTTATTAAAATCAAGGGTCAATGTGCAATATTTTTTAAATTGGGATATAATGGATGAAATTGATGTAAATTATATTATGAGGGGTATTTTGGGCAAAATACAAGGAAATGAGCCTATTTGCGGAACCGTTTTGGATCTGGACACATGTACATTTAAGTCTGGGCCTATGGACTTATTTGCAATTTGCCCTATTTTACATTACTGAATTCGACCAATGAAATTCGCCTTGATCTGGACGTATGTGCATTAAAGTCTGAGCCTATGGGACTATGGGCTTATCTAAGTCTCTTTTGTTTTGTTTATATCATCCATAGAAAAGATAGATTTGAAAGGCAAAGGGTGTGGCTAAGGATTTACGGTCCTGAACTACGAATTTCTTGGATGAATTTGAACCTTTATGTAGCTTCGTCGATTGTGCTTATTAGAGGTGAGCAAGTCGGACCCATTAATCCGTTGAACCCGTCAAACCCGGTAAAAACTGCTCCGCCAAGACCGGACGGATAGATCCATCTATGGAGTCCATAGGCGATTAATATACCTGATGGATAAATTTTCTTTTTTAAATTAAATAATTTCCTTAATCGACTATGCTTTATAGTTGATTAATAAAACTGATACAAAAAAAAAGTTAAGAAAATGAAAAAAAATAAAAAATAAAATAACGGCTGATGACGATGATGATGTCGGTGCATGACACAATGATGATGTGGTGGGTGGGGGCAAAATTGGAAAAAATAATGGTTGAAAATTGGATGAGCTTTTCTCAAATGAAACAAATATTTTGGGTCTTTCTCCATTAAAACAAATAACGTAGGGTTTTCTCAAATAACCCCTTAATAAAAATGTCGTCCCACCACGGTACCACCACCATGTGGGGATAAAAAGGAGGAGGAGATATCAGTTTCAAAATAAGCACCTAATTAACTTCGAATTCTTGTCCTTTTTCAACGGTTTATGTATTTGAATTTCTTTTTTGGAAGATAATATAGACAACTAATTTGATTATCTATTATACATACACAACAAACCTAGTACGTATGCTAAGCAGAAATATTTTACCACCTATATTGCCGGCATTTTTTTTCATTCATAATGAAGATACACATGTTCTTTGTTTCACATGGTGGACCTAGTTAATGGTTAGATTATGTATTTCCATTCATAATGATCGTGGTATCTAGTGCTTTGAAGGAGAACATGTGCGCTAAACTTGATTTTTCGGAATTGGGTGAGAAATTGAAAGTCGGAATTAGACGCACAACCAAACTGGTCAGAATTAGACGATGGAACATTGAAGACCGATGATTAGGTTCAGGGATTTGTTAGTATTCTGGTAAGTATCGCGTTAGGATTAGGAGTCTAATTGTTGTTGTAATTGAATAATAGTTTTGGGAATTAATAGCAAGCACCACGTGCGTTGCACGTGTGATTACGTATGATTTTACTTAATATATAACTTATTATTAATTAATAAAAGTTACATACTATATTTAAAAAAAACAAATATTTTTAAATAAAATTAAATAAGTACAAAACTTCATGTTCTACTTATGTTTCAAAACGTATAATGAAAAAAAATTATTCTAAAATTTATATCAATAAGAATATAAAATCAAAAGCAATGACTCAAAACAAATTGTTATATATATCAATTCATGCATGAAAAATGCGCCCAGTAAAAATTCTCTTATTTTGTTGTGATAGTTGATAATTTTCATTATCTTGAATTTCTCTACATAATTATTTTTGAAACAATTAAATTTTTTTTTTTCGTCTCGCATGTTGTGATCACTCTGGTCAAATTTACCAACAATTTTCTTAAAAAAAAATGTAAATTTACTACATCAGGCCCCTGATATTTTGTGTAATTACAGGTAGACTGCCTCTAATTTGAAAAATGCATATCTCCTTCGAATTTGGGTAATAGCTAAGACTTAACTCATTTCATCATTTACTTCTTTTTAAATTATACTTTTACCTCTCACCAAATGTTGAGTAAACTATATTGACATCCCTTCGGTCTAATTATACTTTTATCATCCACGTCTATTACTTAAATTTTTTTCTTTATTTTCATAATTTTTTTTATCATATTGATAATTGAGTTACAGTATAATATGTATAAAATTTACTTATGTAAAACAACAAGACTAATTATTAAGTACTACATATGTCCCATATTATTTGTTTTTTGGGGGCTTTTTTGTCCTATTTGTCAGTTAGTTGTATTTTTTTCAATTTTGCCCCTTATCAATCTTAACTAGTTAACTAGTAATTCACCCGTGCGATGCACGAAGATTAATTCAAAAACTTAAAATGAGTTAATGTAGAAATCCAACGAATAAAAAATATGTCAAGAATGTAAAGAATAATACCATTAATTTGTGCAGGATACATTCTGTATCCGACAAAATAAAATCGTCTATGAACTAGCTAAGAAAAATTATATTGCTCCAAGACCTAATATATATATATATATATATATATATATATATATATATATATATATATATATATATATATATATATATATATATTTATCCAGCACTATCTGTTCAAGTATGAGGTGATTTCAATGAATAACTCCTCACAGCAAGGTATTGTGAGGCCACCCATCGGATGATGAAATCTGAATTCTTCTTCGGATTGGCATAGCAATTCTTCAAACGAAGGATGATTCAAATACGACAATGGAATAACAAAGCGCTTCTTTTGATCACTCTCCCCAACATAAACGACCAAATGCCCTTTTGGAACTTCAGTTGATCTTCTTTCGTTGGATAAAGATCGTCTTAGCATTTGACGGATTGCCATTGTTGTATAAACTGACTCTTTTTTAATTAGTTCAAATCAACAATTTCCTATGAAGTATTGTGATTTAAGAAAGATGAAAAAACTATAATATTTTTCAGAAGTTGTTATTTGTAAATCAAGAAATGGTGTTGTATATATAGGCTAGCAAGAATTGATATATCCTTGAGAAATTTAGATAAGAGTGGTTAACATAGAAAGTGGATATGTGGTACTCGATGAAACTTGGAAAACATAGGCAAATGTAGTCACATGGTTTTGTCTTTGAATCATTATAAAGATTTTTAGGCAACAATTTGTGATCGAAAACTTTGTATCGTACTAACTATGGCAACATGTCCCTTAGATGACCATATGCATTTATATGCATATATAATTTAGATGAATGGGCTTCACTTATTGAATTTGTGGTTAATAGACAATTCGAATAGGGGTCGTATAACGGGCCAAACATACTCGAAAATGGAAGATCATATGTAATTGTCTGCCAATCAATTAGCTAGCTGTTATAATCACACATCAAACTTAGTTACGTAACAAAATATATAAGATAACATGGCCTTAAACGATCTAGTACATGTCATAATAATCAGACTATGAGAGAGTTTTGTATATTGTTAGTTGTTACATACAACTTGAGCTGTTTGTTATCATATGTTGTAGGATCATTATTTAAGGGCCATGTTGTTGGTGGAATACGACATTTTCGACCACACAAATTATTATTTTGAAAGACAAATCCCTGTGATTTCATATGAGTATGTTTCTTGGAGTTTCATACAGCACCACATTTATGCTTACCACACTTATCTACATTATATCTTTATAGCCTATATATACAACACCATTCTTGATTACAAACAACAAGAAGTCCTGAAAATACTCTAGCTTTCTCAGCTTTCACTTATTTAAAATACTTCCTAAAGGAGCTTTTTTTTTTAATTATAAAAGAAAGAAAAGATGGCAATCCGCCAAATTTTGAGACGATCTTTATCCAGCGAAAGAAAATCAACTGAAGTTCCAAAGGGTCATTTGGCAGTGTATGTTGGGGAGAGTGAAAAGAAGCGTTTCGTAATTCCATTATCGTATTTGAACCACCCTTCGTTTCAAGATTTGCTGTGCCGAGCTGAAGAAGAATTTGGATTCCATCATCCAATGGGTGGACTAACCATTCCTTGCAGTGAAGATCTATTTGTTGATTTAACCTCTCATTTGAGCAGAACATGATCTATATAGGTTTAGGAGGAACACAATTTTGTAAAATTAGTTCTTGTTTCATGAAAAGAAATGTATAGAAACGCAAAAGTACAGTATATACTGTCCTTTAAGCCCTTTTAAGATGCCAAAACATTGTTTGATTGAATTTGATAATACTAATTTTATATGAACTCAACGATTCAAATCAATCTTCTGTCGATAATACTATATTGTATAACAATTCACAATAATAAGTAACCTATATCAGAAGCACAATAAAAAAAAGCTGTAGTATAAATGAATTTACTTGTGTTATTTAATCACGTCAAATATCCCACAAATCAAAATTTCCATATATCTAGCCATGTTTAACCAAGTTCCATATATTCTTTCAGTGCTAAAAACATGCAAAAATATAACATTCCTTTATATGCACTCTCAACTCACATTTCGCAGTGTTTCTACTTATCAACATATGCATTTGTTGTGATCAGGATAAAGAGCTTATGATGATAAGAACTTCAAGATAGGTAAGGCATTCACATATCAAAATGGCTTAGAATATAAAAAAAACATTTATAGGTAATACCAGTAATTTGTTCAGAATACAATTTGTACCCGACAAAGTCTTCGTGTAGAAAAAAAATAAAGCAATGTCCACGAAGTGGCTAAGTATCTTCTGTCTGTACAAAAAGAAAACAAAAATTCTTCTGCGTATATATTATGCTCTACTCAAGTGAGATGTGAGGTCGATGAATAACTCCTCCGTGCACGGAATTGTGAGTCCACCCATCGGATGATGGAATTCGAATTCTTCTTCATGTGTTTACTAACATAGCGAACTATTCTTTCGCCTTTTTTACTAACATGTTCTTTTGGCATGTATAGCACAAGTTTCTGACCAACCATCTTTATTATTTTATGTTCAAGGGCTATATCTATTTTACCAATAAGTCCATCACTTTAACATGCATTATAAACAAATGCAAAATTAATGCTTATGACAAAATTACCCCCAACCCTTAAAATCCAATTCATAATTGTAACTCAATTTAACTTCAATTTCATCAATTTTGACTTTTTTCCCTTTTTTTATCCTACCGGTTTTCGGCGTTGATTTTTTTTCCTATCCATTTTTTTTACGCCCGCCGCTGAACGTTGATTTTTATTCTACTGTCGTTAACAATATTTATACTATTGTTAATAGTACAATTACTATAAACACAATAATACTACTGTCAACCACATCAATATTATTATTTTTTTGCCTTTTTTATTTTGTTTGATTTGTTGACCAGTCATCCTATTAATATTACTGTTGTTGACGGTAAAATTACTGTAAACACAATAATATTACTATCAACCATATTAATATTAATTTTTCTTGGCCTTTTTTATTTTGTTTGATTTGTTGACCGATTAACGTAATAATATCACTGTCTACTATAATAATATTACTGTGGTTGGCGGTAATATTACGATCGTTACAGTAATATTACTGTGGTTGACAGTAATATTATTGTCAACCACATCAATATTAATTGTTTGGCCTTTTCTTATGTTTGCCTTTGTTGAACCGGTCAACATATTAATATTATTCTATTACACGATAATAGTGATTTTGGTTGTGTTAATATCATTGTGCTAGAGAGTAATATGACAATATTACTTTGTTACTATAGTAGTAATATTACTGTTTAAAAACGCAAAAAAATATTGAAGAAAAGAAAATTTTCAATAAATTTCAAAAAAAAAATAAAGAAAAGAAATCAACGCCGGAGACGGGCGAACAACGACGACGACGGGCGAAATTGTAGTCAAAATTGGGCTAGGGATCAAAATTGAATGATTGGTGAAATTTGGGGTCACATTGAAGTTAAATTGAATTAAATGATGAAAAAGAGCATATTAAAATGTGAGGGGTATTTCAGTCTTTTACACACCTTTGGACATTGTCTGGATTATTTTGTAATAGAGTTTTTTGTTTGGACCTCTCTATTAATAAGTAGTCCATGATGGGCTTCTTTGTACTAGACCCTAATTAAAATTTACTTAAATCTAATTTGGTTGTGAAACGATTTTCAAATTAACTTTTGACTGACGAATTTAATATAAATTTTACCAAGCACCGAGAAATTAATTATTTTTTCTCGGAAGCAGAATGCTTAACACACATTAACTAATATGGGTTTTGTAGATGCTACATTCGGTGAGATACAATGAGTGATTCTACATCATTGATCTACCTATAATAGCACACACCCATATGAATGTTTTTCACTAAGAGTAGCATCTCATAGACCATTAATATGAATTCCACGTAAGAGAGTAACATTAATATTATCTCTCAAACTTGTCTTATAGTATCGTAAGAAAATTGCTTTTTTTAGAAACATAAGAAAATTGTTTAAGAGATGATAATACATTTTTATCCCTAAACATTGCCACAAACGATTTATGTCCTCAAACTTTTTCATCCACGCAATATGTCCTTAAACTTGCCACTTTTTAACAATTTATGTCACGCCGTCAACTACGTCAGCCAACTTGGACTGAAATATCACGCATGACACACCTGATGTTGACCTGGCTATTTAAAGTCGATGTGACTTACACCCTAAGTCAATCTGGCCGAAAAACATAACGAGTGACATATGACAGTCACATACCGATGACACACCAATTAGTTGATCTAAACTCAATTACCAAATTTCTAACTCACTCAAATCCCCAATTTCGATTCTCATTTCTCACTTTCTTCATCCCATAAACCCTAACCATCCAATTCCAAAATATTTTTTCATAGCGTAAATCCACTCCCAAATTTCCAATCAAATTCCATTCCTCTTCGGAATCGTACGAAATTCGAAGTCATAAACCAATAAAAATCCAAAGTCTAACATTGCTAGAGTTGTTCGACCGATGGTGCTGTGCACAGAGTCCTACTGCTTTGGGCGCTTTTATGAGATGAAAATGTCAAGAATTTGCTATTTTACTCATATTCTACACCACAAAATACAATTTGATATAAAAGTGAAAATTACAGTTTATGTCCTTAAACTTTACCGCTAAAACGATTTATGTTCTCAAATATTTTAATCCACGAAATATGTCCTCAAACTTGTCACTTTTGATCACTTTATGTTCTGCCGTTAACGTCGGCAGCTAACTTCGACGGAAATAGCATGCGTGGCTCACGTGACGTCTATGTGGCCGTTAAATGTGACGTGGAATAATATATTGAATATTAAATGTTGACGTGGCACAAGAATATACTAATTTCCTCTAACTCACTCTCCCAAATCTCAAATCACGTTTCATTCCCATTCCCAAATTTTCAATCCAATTTGCATTCTTTCTCGAACCCATACTAAAATCGAAGTCATAAACCCATAAAAAATCAAAACATTCTCACATTTGAAGAGTTTTTCCCTTCTCAAAGAACAGCAGATTTACGTGCAAAAGATTTTAGAGGAAGCTTTAATTCTTCTCCCAACTCCGTCTCTAGAACGTTGGGGTCGTGTGATTTTTCACTTGTTGATGCTTGTGCCCCTTGTGGTCTCGATGAAGCGAGCACAAGGATGGTGAAGATGGCACAAATTCTACCCAACTCAGCAGTTTCAGAACCTGCCCAGAAGGTGTTTGACAAAATGTCTGAGCCAATTCCGAAAAAAAAAACATGCAGCACTTGTCAAAGCTGCATATAATTCTTTTCTCGCCAAGAATAGAGTGCCCAAGAACGGATTCTAGCTCCCCGACTTCCCCAACGAAGTGGAAGAATACATGATATTTTAGCCCGAAGATGAAAGTGAAATCGAGGAAACATTCGGCATTTGTTTATTGGGCTATTTTGCTGGTAAAACACCACGAAAAATGGCCATGGATTCACAGGTGATTCTGCTATTTTCGAATTTCACCTCAATTGAAGGATTCGAAATGGGGTTTTAGGGATTGGATTTATGGGTTCATTGGGGATATGGAGAATTAGGGATTTTAGAATAGAAATAGGGGAGGAGAATGACGTGTCACTCCACATCACGTTTCGTTGACCAAGTAGGCACTGGGTGTTGTACAACTCGACATTTAATGGCCACATAGACGCCACGTCTGTTATTTCCGTCGAAGTTAGCTGCCGACGTTAACGGCAAAACATAAAGTGATCAAAAGTGGCAAGTTTGAGGACATATTTCGTGGATTGAAATGTTTGAGGACATAAATCGTTTTAGTGGTAAAGTTTAGGGACATAAACTGTAATTTTCCCTGATATAAAATAATAGCTAGCCCCTCTCAATTCGCATAACTGAAGTCTAAAGATATCAACTTTGAAGAAACTTACACAAATCGAAAAGTGATGCTCGAATGTGATGTTCCAGCTCCAAAAAATTACGAATTTAGGATTGGACAATTTTGTTGTTGCGGAATTTCACCTTAATTTGAGGTTTCGTACTTGGAATTTGGGGGTAGGGTTTCTGCATTCGGGTTCAATAATTAGGGGTAATGAAAAATTAGGGATTTTGAAATTGAAATAGTGGGAGAGAATGACGTGTTACTCCACGTCATGTTTTTCGGCCAGGTCGACTTAGGGTATAAGCCACGTCGACTTTTAACGGCCAGACCGACATCACGTGTGCCACACGTGATATTTCCGTCCAAGTTGACTGACGAAATTGACGACCGAACATAAACTGTTACAAAGTGGCAGGTTGGAAGACATATTTCATGGATGAAAATTTGTGATTATGGAAATTATTTTAGTGGTAAAATTTAGGAAATAAAATATACTAAAATTATGATAAATATTAAATTTATAGTTTTGAATCGATAGTGGTAATTGTTTATATAATTCAAAATATTACTTACAATTGAATCGATAATTAATATTTAGGAAATAAAATACACTAAAATTATGATAAATATTAAATCTATAGTTTTGGACATATATAGTGACATGCCATGGGAGACCCAACCAAATATCATTTCCTATAAGTGGTGAATCGGTAAAATATTATTATTTTATATTTGGTTTAAATTTAGTGAAATGAATGGGAGGAGACCAAAAACACCATTTTCCACAAAAAATGGTGGAAGGGTAAAATTGTGTGCT